TATTGCAAAGTTTGTGTTTCCGCCTGTCCTGTTGGCGCCTGGATGCTGTGCCGCCAATAAAGCGTAATAATTAAAATTTAATTCAGCTTCCCATCGCGTCGAGTTAATGCGAGTGTGAGCCACCAGCGCGGCGAAGAGAGACGCAAAGTGGTGCGAGATAGCGGGGACGATCGTGCGGGCGTAATTAAGGCATTATTTTTCGATTAAACGGGGAATAGAAATGAATGCCGGCAGGTAGCGACGTCGTGATGGGATTTAAATTAGCGCGAGAGCGCTAGGGCATCTGTCGCCAGTCGCCAGTCGCCAGCTTCCATTAAATGTCACTTGCCGAGGGAGCCCCCCCCCCCTCCCCACTTCCCAGTTGCCGCTCTCGAGAAGCACGAACCTTCCGCCGAGACGTTTGCTTCGTGCAAGGAAATTAGAAGCATTCGATAAGAACCTCCTTGTCGTCGCCAATTCAGCTCCACCACCATCTCCACCACCATCTCCACCACCATCTCCACCACCATCCTGCGCGTAGCGACTATTCTTGCCACCTTTTAATTTCACATCGCAGAGATCAACTGACTACAATAAATTCGCTAAACAGTTATACCTACATATATAAGAATCTATGCTTCAGACTCTCGGGCTCTCGGGCTCTCAGGCTCTCAGATCTGTGCAGTAGAACGAGCGACCAAGCCACATCCTTCCATCCTTCCGAATTTATCCGCCGATGTCGACCGTATCTATATCTATTTTTGAGAAGCATCATTCGTCCAGTCCCGACTCAATCCAAACGGGATGAATCTGTGGGATCGATAGAGTGACGAGGAACGATAAAGACAGCGGGAAGCCGTGCTCGGCCGTTTCGATTGTGTTAAACGAGGAAACTATTATTAAATTGGATTCGAGTTCTTCTTCCTCTTCCGGGCCCAGTATGAGATCGAGCCACGAACCTCTTTTGTGCGGGGGAAATGGTGCTGGGAAGTGTTACGCGAAAGAAATGTATTCTTCAGGAGACAAGGGAGAGAAGGCACGTTCGAGATCCTCCTACTCGTCCTGCTGAGAATCAGCCGGAGCTCCGTCCGTCAGTCCATGCTTCCTGCAGAATCGTCCTCGATGGAGTTCTCCCTTCCCACGTCTCGTCTCCGGCATTTCTTCCCCAGGACGTAATCTTCAACGACGTTAAGCCACTATTTCGCTTTGTCCAAATATTTCAAGCTCACATCTTCCAGCGCTTCGTGGCACAAGGGCTGCACTTGCGTCTCCAACTGGAACCCCCCCCCCCCCCACCCCCACCCCCACTTCCACC